AAAAAAAAGACTCACACCCACTCCACTTGTACTATGTACTCTTATAGATAATTTTTTATCAATATTATATTTAATGGAAAATAAGAAGAGAAAATTCACTGATATACAAGATGAACCTGACACGTACATTAATCATGTATCAGATAATGCATCTTTAATTCCTTTAATCTGTTATCAACATATTTTCCAATATTTACCAATGGAATCTTTGATTTCCGCTTCACTTACGTGTAAAACATGGTACAATATATTAATTTCAAATAGATTCTGTTTTAATAAATATACTAAACTAACCCTATTAAATGAAAATCAACTAATGATCGTTTCCAATTCAAAAATCTTACGTCATATCAAACAAATCGAAATTGGTAAATATGAATGTGGTCTAGTAATTCCAATACCAACAATGACTTTTCAATTTCGTTTTACTTCATTATATTTATTGAAATTATCTTTTATTTCATTATCTCCGTTATTTATAACCAGCTTATTCAATTGTGTTTCCCATACATTACAAAAATTAATTTTATCAGTAAAGTTTTCTTCCGGAATAAATATAAAGAAAGAACTTATGAATCCAGTGCAATCCTGTCTTTGTCTTCTCTCATCATTACATCTTCTTCCTAATTTAATACATTTCTTTCTTCTTGTTTCATCAAGTACAAGAATTGAATTTGATATTGAGAAATATTTTCAAAAGTTAACAAAATTACAAAAATTAATTATTCGATTAGATCATTATATGAATCAAAGAACTCCAGTGAAACAATTAACTTCAATTCATTATCTTCCTAATTTAAAACATCTAGAATGGTTTGAAATAGTACCAGATGATTTACAAATATTATCATCTATCCCATGTTTACCTCCATTACAATATATTCATCTTCAACATACTTTGATTACAAATGAAATTTTATATTATTTAAGTAAAATATCAACGATTACATCATTAAAATCAGATCGATTTTCACCTATACAAAGTAAATTAAATCTTATTGGCTTTAATTATTTACTTTCATTAAAAGAAACATTGAAAGAATTGGAAATAAGTGCTAAAAATATTATACATGATGAATTAATGATCGTTCAACAACCAACAGAAGCTGATTGTACTGAAGATGAATATGAAGTACACTTAACTTTTGAACATGTTAATATTTTCAAACAATTTATTCATCTAACAACTCTATCATTGAATAAAATAAGGATATCAACAAAAGATATAGACGATTTATTATCAAGTATGGCTTATCATAACAAATTAAAAATCTTAAATTTAGAATCTGTTTGTTTTCCATCATTTACAATTTTATCAACAATGATCAGTCTAGAAGAATTATCATTATCATATCCATACAATAGACATCAAGAAGAATATACAGATAAAGATTTATTCAAATTATATTCATTGAAAAACTTAAAAGTATTAATATTATATCATAGTATTAACTTAACAAAAATGACAAGACAACAATTAAAAAGAGATGATAATTTAATATTTGAACATCTAGAAGAGTTTATTTATAATGATGATACTGACAATCATGATGACAACGAAGAAGATTGTGATGAATGATACTGTTTGTCACTCTTGTTGATGCGTTTTTTAATGTTTATTAATTTAAACTTCTTAGTTATGAATAAAACTCGGGTGTGGATGTATGATTAATACAATATCTACATCTGCCCTCATCTTCAGTCTCACCCATACTGTTGTTGTTCGTATCAGTACAAAAAAAATCATAAGAAACTGCAACGTGCATATAAATATTCACTATCATGGTAGTAAGTAAAAAGATTAGGTATCACAAAAAAGGTAATTTAATCGTCGTAGCATTATATGCCGTATGTTTTCTTTTCTTTCGAACGTCCTTCACAAACAGTCCACGTGGCAATGGTTGTTTTTCACTGATATCGATTATTATAATGTAAACTGCTTGTTACGCACACAACATTAAGGATGAGTTTAACAGTTCTTCTTTTCATTATTTATTTGATTTAAAAGAAAAGTTGTGCAATATAATATCTCTGACTAGGAGTAAATAACGATATATACACTGTATATTATTTTAGATTCTTAGTTTATCGTCATGTCATCGATTGTCGCTCTAATTATTGGTACGGGTAGTGAATTAGAAGATAAAATAATTCACCAGTTAGCAAAAAAAGGTGTATGTGTTTTATTTTGTTCAGACAATACCGCTAAACTAGAACAATTAATAAAGACATTGAACGATGATGGTATACAACCGAAATTTGTTATCCTTGATACTATCGATCTTCAGACAGTTAATGAACAATTTGGAAAATTAGATATTTTAATTAATGTTGGAATATTACATGATAATGGTCAATTTAAAATCAATATTATGACACGTCAAGGTTTTGAAGCAAAAGATTTTTTTGATACATTAAGTTTATCAGAATCCTTTATACCTTTACTACATAAATCTTCATCGGGTTGCATAGTTAATGTATATGGTCAAGTAAATGGTCAGAATGCTAGATCAAATTTATTAACTGGATTATTTCGTGATTATTCATCGAAAATTGCCTTACATAAATTTATCGACCAATTTAATAAGAAATTTCATAACACAAATATTAAGATTAATTCGGTTACACTTGGTGATGATAAGAATATTTTAAGTATACAAGAAGAAGCGAGTCGTATAATTGATTTAGCACTTTTACCTTTCATTCAACCTTCCAAATCAAAGACAATGCGTATTCTTTATGGTGTAGTAGGTGAAGGAATGGGTCATGCTACACGATCGAAAGTTACACTTGAAATATTAATGAAAGAACAACATCATGTTAAAGTGGTTGTGAGTAATCGTGCATATAAATTTCTTGATGAAAACTTTTCCCATCGATTTCCACGTTGTGCTGCAGCGAATCATGATGAAGCAGCTATTGATATAATCGAAATCGAAGGTTTAACAATGCAATATGTTAATAACGTCTTTGATGAAAAAGCATCCGTTTTACATACGATGCAACGTATGCCAACGATGGTTAACAAAAATATGAGTGCATTTTTTCGAAATCTTGTATTCTGGAAGCCTCAAGCGGTTATCAGTGATTTTGATAGTTTTGCATATATGTTTGCTCAATTACATGGATTACCAATTCTTTCAATTGATAATCAACATGTAGTACGACGATGCTCAATTCCAGAAGAAGCTCGAGAATCAGATCCCAAAGCATTCAGTACATACAAAGGTTTTGTTAAAGGAAAATTACCATTCTGTAATCATTATATCATTACTGGTTTTTTTATTCCTGAAATTCGTGATAAATACAAAAGTAATACAACACTTGTTCCACCTATTCTTCGTCAAAGTATTATTGATGCAAAAACAATACCAGCTGAGCAAGGCGAACATTTTCTTGTATATCAAAGTAGTAAAAGTGATACATCTCTTATTGATACTTTACAAGCTTTTGGTGAAAAATGTATTATTTATGGACTTGGTCGAGAAGAAAAAATTGGTAATCTAGAATTTAAAGGTTTTTCTGAACAAGGATTTGTTGATGATCTAGCCAGTGCTAAAGGTGTTATTGCCAATGGTGGACTTTCTCTTATGAATGAAGCAGTTAGTTTACAACGACCATTTTTTAGTGTACCAGTCGAGAATCAATATGAACAAGTATTGAATGCTTGGTATTTAGAAAAACTCGAGTATGGAATCTTTGCAGATAAAATAGAAGTTGAAGCATTGAAAAAATGGGTACAAAATATTCCAAAGTATGCTAAAGCACTGTCAAATTATCATCATGATTCAAATATGCATTTGCATAACACGGTTAAAAGAGTTCTCGATGAATTCAGTCACAAATTTATATGGTGGGATCCATTAAAATGTTTTTAATGAACATTATATTTTTTTGTTTATCGTCATTTATAAGAAAATAAAATATTTCTCTTTCTTCCGCGATCTTGAGTAAGACATGAGTCAGAGAATGGAAAGAAAAAAAAAGAAAGATTCCTTCGTCTGTATCGATAGCGTTGATGACGACGGTCGAACATGTTTTTCTTTTTCTTACTTCAATAAATAGACAAAAAGCAACACGTTACATTCGAAAAGAAAATTACAAAAAGTTACTTCCCTTATTGTATGTGACTTTCGATAACGAATGGAAGAAAAAGAACCATTTCAACTTATTGATGGTATATGCTGGTCATCAGAATGGAGCTTCGAAAGTCTTCGTTATGCTCTAGCATATGAACCTAGCCCAGATGATCTTTTCATAGTTACATATCCGCGAAGTGGAACAACATGGATGCAAAATATTGTATATAATCTTCAAACAAATGGACAACCATTTGATGCAGATCGAGAACACTTTTTTGCACAAAATCCAGCTCTCGAAATCGATGGTGAAATAGGTATCGAACTAATGCAACGACCATGTGCAATTAAAACACATCTACCAATGAATCGAGTACCGTATCATCCGTTAGCTAAATATATTTGTGTAATTAGAAATCCAAAAGATGTATGCGTATCATATTATTTACTCTACAATAGTTGGGGCGACGTACCAAAGTTCGAATTTAATCAATTCTTTCAATATTTTATCGAAGGACGTCTACCATTCAATGATTATTTCGACGTTCTCCGATCGGCGTGGCAACGACGAAATGACAAAAATGTTCTACTAGTATCCTACGAAGAGATGCGAACTGATCTGCGATCAATGATATGCAAAGTTAGTATAATATGAGTTTTATGATAATCTTTATCCATTATTTCTAGATTGCTAATTTCATCAATATTGCTTTAAATGATGAATTACTTGAAAAAGTCCTCAAATATTCATCATTCGATTACATGAAAAATAAATATGATGCTGAACGACGATTATTTGAAAAGAATATTATTGATAATATAGAAGATAAAGAAGCAGCTGCACAAAGACGCGAAATATTCATGAACGAATCAGGAATAAAAGTAGTACGTAAAGGAGAAATAAACGACTGGAAATCGTTCATGACACCAGAACAAAGTCGTCAAATTTATGATCGTTTTATGGTAACATGCAAAGAATGCGAAGGATTAAAAAACTACTGGTTGAAATGGAATATTTTTTAATTTATTTATTGAAAAATAAAAAAAGACAATCAATATTACTCGCACATACGAATGATTCTTCTCCTAGTTTTCTCTTTGTTCATTCTATTCATCGACTTGACATATTTGCGCGCTAACTTCTTCATAGACAACAATATATTTTAATCAGACTATGGACATCCACATTCGGTGATTTCGTCACACAGTCATCATTGCTTATATATATTGTAGTTCTATGTCGAAGAGTGTCAAATCAATGAATAAGGAGAGACAAAGAAATGAACTAAAAAGAAAAGAAAACAAACGATGAATGAGTATTTGACAGAAATATGTGATTAAGCGAGTGTATGAGCATGGGATTGATTGAAGTTATCAATCCATTGATCGAGCTCATTAAGATGATAGCTAAATGTATCCTTGTGTGGTTCTGCTTTCAAAGCTAATTTGCCATCATAAATAACATAAAAACGATATGGCCATGATCCATATGTGAGATGGAAGGTATTGTCCATATTATCGACGAGCATAGGCATTTCAAATTGTAAATTCTTTTGACATTCTCGAGCATTGACAAGTCGTTGTTCGATCGTTGTTGGTTGATCTACACAGGAGATGGTCTTCCCAGCTGGCCACTGATCACGAGCATGTGCTTCGGCGATGTAAACCACCAAGAAATGCATGCTATCGGACGCATGCGAGCGAAATAGCGCGCTATATAAACAATATTCATTAATTATGTGCTTATCATAAAACTTAAAAAAAGACATACTTTATTCGCTCGGCAGACGCCCGAAATGGGGGTCAGCTAGTTGAACCAGCCAACAATATCAATGGTTGACCAGCTGAAATATGCGATAGAAGATTTGTAGGATGACCTTCCAGGGTAAATAGATCGACATTACGAACATATTGGTCTTGTGTAATCAGACCTTGTGTGATTTTGTTGTGTTTGACTAAATTATAAAACTGTACGTGGGTTAAGTGTTGATCATGACTTACTGTAAAAAGCATCTTTAATGGCAGGTTCATCTGGAAATCGATACAAAGCAGTACGTAATGCGTTCACATCACGATATCCAAAGGATTCCACAACATGTTGTTGAATGAGATCCAATATTAAACTTAAACAGTATAACAAAATGTGTTAAAAATTTAATAAATGAATAACAATAAAACTTACGTAATAGCTCCTTCATCCTTATAATATACATCCATGAGCTGTTGGATAGATTCGGATAAACGTATACGCGTTTCGTAGGCAATCATTTCACGTATAGTCTCAATCGTAGGTGACTCGTTCGAAGTTTTAATAGTTTCAAAACCCATGTGACCAGAAGTGGGAAAAAACATAAAACATCGAGCTGTTGTTTCTGAACGACTCAGAAAAGGTGATTGTTTTTGATTTGATGGAGGAGGAAGAGTTGTAGAATTCGTATCTGCTGATCCATTACTGGTCAATGACAATGCTTGTATCTGAGCAGTTATCGCCGCTGTTGCCTGCTCTGCGATCATATTGTAATCTTGTTCAGTAGTATCCATAGAGTCTTCCTGATAATCTCCACGAATACTATCATGCGACATTGTGTTATTGAGCAATGTAGCTTTTTTTTCTCTTTTTTAATCATTGAAATATATAGAAGATATATATACGTCTCGACGAACATATGCTTGTACAAGAAATAAACAAATATATGCTGTAATAGAAGTAAGAGAATGTATAAATGAGTCATTCCGAAATATTATTGTTATAGCATGATATATCACATGCCATAAAGAATGTTGATTCGCTTTCATTTCCTCACGTACTACTGATATCGTTGAGTATTTAACGAGTGAATATTGTGAAGAGAAGAGAAATAAAGAAAAAAAATGAGCGATAGCAGTTATGGTGCAAGAAAGATGACATGACTCATCACACACAATAAAAAAATATGAAATAAAGTTATGTTGGAAATTTTGTGTGATGACTAATAGACTAAAACAAATGTATTGATGATACTTCCATATGTATTTAGCAACAAATAGAACTGAATATTATAAACAAAATACAGCATTTTATTATAATAAAAATTGTTTGTAATTGTACACTACTGCCATCAAGTGATCATGAATTGAGTAATAAGCAAAACGTGAAGTTCTTACTACTTCTCAAGTTTTTTATTCTATGCGAAGCAATTATACATAGTAATCTAGTAGTATAACAACATTTAGTGACAATATTGGAGAATAGTTCCGATGGAACATCTGGTAAAGTTGTGTTCTAGTTATACGAAACTTGAAAAGGATGAAAGTGATCTTATAGAATTAGATTGATCGATTTCTAATAAGTTAGGTTTATTAGTTAAGATTATCGCTTGAAAATTATATCTTCCAATCAAGTTAATTAGTCGAGTTACTAATAATGACATATTTAATTATTTAAAATCGAATACAATTAATATTAGAAAATAAGTTTTGGTTTATTGAATAAAATCTATCTTCTGGGAGCGACAATTAAAATGGATAATCATTATTAAAGATCAATCACAATTTTATTATTGTTTACCAGAGCAACGTATAGCAAGACAATTCGAACAAGAAACGGCTGAGCAAATTGCAGAAGATATATTGAACTCTCTTCATCGAATTTCAAAGATTCTATTGGTTGTATTAAGAGTGGAATATGTGAAGCAAAATGAATTCTTCGCAAAAGTCAGTAATCAATATCGATTATAGTTTGTTTATAAAGAAATTTAATTGATTTCTAAAGATTAGTATTCACAATAGGCATTTATTAGACATTTCATAAACAAAAAATAAGACAATTGAATTAATACACAAGAATCTCTTTTAGGTTAATGTTTATTGGTTGACACTATTAATTTGTTGAACAAAGACCAGCAGGTGGTTGGTTACATTTATCTGTCGAACAGCATGTTAGATTGAGGTAACCTGTTTGTTTCATATAATCACATCCCAATTGATCAGCAATCATAAATTCCCATTTTTGTCCACGTAAATCAAGATCTTGTTTATCACAATCTCCAAAGAGTGGGGAACATTTATAATACTTGAGGCATAGATAATTTATGTCTGTAACCCGATCATCTGTATTTTCTCCTAATTTGCAATGAGTACTATTCCCTTGATAGCACTGAAGTGACCAAATATTCCAAAAGAACGAGATGAATACGACAGCAAATAATAATCGACGATACATTGTATGAACAAACAGCGAATGAATATACTTGTGTTGTTGTTAACGATAATATCGAGAATGATTTTTTTTGGGAGTTAACCGACTATTTATAGTTGAAGAATGACGAGAGAACAATGATTATATATTTCGCTACCTGCCTATACGATAGCATATATTGAAAGTTGAATCGAACAACAGATGAAGAAAAAATAGATACATAGAAAGAATGACTGAAGAAATATCGAAATGAAAAAAGACAAATGAAGAAACATCGAATAAAATATGAAAATATGAGTAAGAAATAATTGCTATGAATTTATCACACATTTTATTAATTGAACAAGTATATTTCGTACAAATTCTAGAGTATTTAAACAGAAATTTTTTTTCAATTGATCATAACTGTTTATAATCGACATTGTCTCAAGTTATTTTGTTCTGAAGACTTAAAAACTGAACTGGTATTAGAAGACAAAGTTGTCATATTTAAAATAACAAACGTTCTATCATTAAATCTTCAATTATTCGTGACTTTTTGATTGAAATTCTACTAAGACGATATGACTACTCAAGAGAAATCAGCACAAACTAAATCAATCAATGATGATGGACATTTGTCAACAGTGCTTGAATTTATATGGTTACATCCGTTGAACAAAAAAACAAATGTGACTGTCCGAGCAAATCAGACTAGGTATGTTTCAATCATCTTATTATATTGATCTGTACTGATTAATTAATTTTTCCTCTGCGACAATTTCTCTTTCGATATTTTTTCATCACATCGTCAATAAAGAAAGAACAATGCATGCGGTTAAATAAAAGGTGAATCCATTTCTACATCCACACCTACACCTAATTTTTTTGTTAGAGATTAGTATTAACAAGAACAATTAATTCATCCTAATGACAGGTATTTATTAGACAATTCATAAGAAAAAAAAATGAAACAATTGAATTAGCACACAAAAATGTCTTTCAGATTAATGTTTATTGTTGAACATTTAGTTCATTGAACATAGACCACTAGGTGGCTCATTACATCCATCTGTCCAGCAGCATGTTACATCGAAGTAACCACCTTGTTTTAAATAATCACATCCCAATTGATCACCGATCAGAAATTCCCATTTTTGTTTACGTGCATCTGGATCGTTTTCATTACAATTTCTACTAAACCGCGAGCATGTATTGTATTTAATGCATACATATGTTATGTCAGAAATCAAATTATCTGGACTTTCTCCTAATTTGCAATTAGTACTACTTCCTTCATAACATCGAAGTGACCAAATATTCAAAAAGAACGAGATGAATATGACAACAAATAATAATCGATGATACATTCTATAAATAAACAGCAAATGAATATGTAGAAACTTTTAATATGAATTACTTGTATTGTTGTTGTTGATAATGATAGTTTCGAGAATAGCTTTCCTCATGAATTAACCGACTATTTATAGTTGAAAAATGATGAGAAAATAAGGCCACAAGCAGACTAAAAAAAATGAATTAACTTAGAATTGAATCAAGCAACTTGATTCGTCTATCCCGACTTAAATCGTCTTTTCTAGACGATTTATTTGTCTGTTTTTTTTCAGTCTGCTTGGGACCTAACGATTATATATCTCGCTAGCTGTCTATATGATAGCACACATTGAAAGTTCAATCGAACAATAGAAAAAGAATAAAAACAAGAAATAGATACGTAGAAAGAGAATATATTGCAACATACTATGAAACATTCAGACAATAATCTTACATGAAAATAACGTATTCGATAATGCACCACAATTAGGATATAATACAGAAATTTAAAATAAAAAGACTTCGATCGTGGTCAATCGTTTTAATATTTTTCTTTCATACTCAATGACATAATTGATAAACCAGCAAAATATAAGTCTTCAGTCCCGAATTATTAATCACTTGAGAGTTTTAATTTTTGATCTTTTCGATGTTTCACTGCAACTCAATATTTCGTATGTATTAGTTCTGAGCGTTTTTTAAGACTTTTGAGTGTGTGTGTGAATTAGGCATGGTTGGCTTCGTCATCCACACCCACCCTCAAGATGGTTCTTCTCATTGATTTCATTTTTCAATTCATTTTTTATTATAATTCTTCAAAGTCAATTTTTTTTCTTCAAATTTCAAATCGGCAAAAAGAATAAAATTCGAAAATGATAAAATTTGCTAATTTATTTAAAAAAATATCTTTTCAATATTTATTTTGCTCAACAAAATTTATTTCATTTCGATTTTTATTCTCACTTTTTTATAAAACATTCTTTTATTTCTCGATTATTTATTCAACAAAAATTTCTTTTGGGTGTGAGTGTCGATGAAGAAGTCAACAACACCCAACTCACATCCACACTCACTTTACCTTCCTGATAGATGATATACCAATCTCTCATCCATTCAACTGCATTGTCTGTCATGTTCATTTTTATGATCATTATCATCTCTTTCGCTTTCAACATAGTTATTGTGTATGGGTGTGGATAATTGATAGAGCATATCTACACCCACATTCTTTGGAGCCGTTTTTATGATATTTGAGGATAGGTGTTTATGCAGATATTCTATTTCATCCACACTCACTCTCAGACTCTTCAGATGATTCCCCGAAATATTCTTTCTATTTTGCATTCACATCTGCTCTATGCATTTCTGGTTCCCTGGTCTTTTCTTATCTAATGACTACATGATAATGCTTTTAGTAAAATAAAAAATAATGACAAATGTTGTTGTTTTGTTTTTATGTTTTTCGTTCTCTTACAGCTCGTAAGACAGGTGATTTCACTAGAAAAAAACGTAAGTCTCTGTTTGTTTTGTTTTATCATTTTGTAAGTAACCACAAAATTCGACAGAGAAAGAAAAAAAGAAAATGCAAGTTACTTAAGTCTCTAAGAGTAACAGACAGTAAATAACGATATAAATTGTGTAGAAAATTTTTAGTTAGACATCAGTTACGTATATATTATCACTCGTCGAAGGTTTGTAGACTGTCCCGTCCAAAAAACATTCAGATTTTCGCTGCATCTCAGTCATTCTGTTTCACTCTCTAAAACCAATATATATATGAGGTATTGAAAGTACGGGTGACAAAGAATTAGAAATCTGATAATGACGATATTGTATCGGTCATGCATTTCATAAACGACATGGCAAAACTTTGAAGAACTGAGTATACATCTGGTTTTCGTCGATCAGGTACTTCTTTCATGTAACTGCATAAGTATATCATTAGTCTCTGAGTACAGCCAACTTCTGATGGAAAAATCTTGAGTGTGTGGATGTGGGTGTCTACTCATTCTATTCACTCTCACACCCACTCATCCCTCACCCTGAAGAAATAAGAATCATAAAAAAACGATTATTTTTCAGAGGCGAACCAGTATTTTTGCTGATCATCCCAAATAAATATCCAATTAATCAGTGATCTTTGTAAACGAGAAACAATGTCAGGAAGACCCAAAGGTCAACGTCGTCAAATATCGAATGGCACATCAGAAAATTATGAAGCAAATTCTTCACCATCCGTTAGTAATTACAATCCAATTGCTATGATCAACAAGGAAATTAATGGAGAAGACTGCCGTCAACTACTGATGAAAGTTGACACAATGCGTGAAATCTTACGGATGGAAAAGATTTCACTTCCACAAATTGTTGTTGTTGGCGATCAATCGGTAAATCCTATTAGTTTGTGTTTTAGGTCAATACTTAGATTTTTTGTGTAGGTAGGAAAATCGTCTATACTCGAAGCTATCAGCAGCATTGAGTTACCACGAGCTCAGAATATTTGCACACGATGTCCACTGGAATTGCGCATGAAAAGCGCGCCATCTGATTCACCGGACTATGCTACGATTCGATGCGACGGAGTCGATGAAATGATTATCCAAGATCTGTCAGAGATTCCTGTCAGAGTGATACAATGCACGAACTTTTTGACTGGCGACATGATTAATGTTTCATCAAAACCTATTTTTCTCACAGTTTACAAACGGGACATTCAAGACGATTTAACATTGGTTGATTTACCAGGTCAGCATTCTTTTGATTCATGATAAAATAAAATCAAGTCTTGTTGAAATATTCTAGGAATCGTTCGAACTCAAATAGAAGGCCAATCGCCAACGATTTATAACGATATTGTTACACTAATCAAAGATTGTGTTAAGCATGAATCAGCGGTTGTTTTACACGTCATTCCATCATCAGTCGATTTTAGCACATCAGAATCGATCAAAATTTGTCAAGAATATGATCCGAGATGTATGAAAACTATGTTTAATGAAATAGAATTTTTGTTAATTGATGTTTCTAGATGAACGACAGATGATCGCCGTATCAAAAATTGACAAACATGACAAAGGCATTGCTGAGAGATTGCAAGGAATCGGATCTGGATCTCTCCGTCTTCCATTGGGTTGCGTTGCTGTTCTCAATCGAAAACAAGAGGAAATCGATGCAGGAGTTTCGTTTGAAGAAATGAGACGTCGAGAAGCAGAATTTTTTCGAACTAATCCAGCCTTCACCGATGTACCTCAAGAATACTTGGGTAGCCAAGAATTAATCAAAAAATTAGTTTTGATTCAACAAGATAGGATTCGATGTACGTTGCCACGTGTAATCGAACAGGTCAAAGAAAAAATTCATACGATGCGAGAAGAACTTAAACAAATTCCATCAGTGATTTTAACGGAAACTGACACTAGAATTGCTTTCAGTGAAATTCTTCGGAAATATCGCAGAGCTGTTGAACAACGTGTCCAAGGTGACTATGAAATTAAATCTGAAAAAGCGGGGGAGAAGTTCGATCAGCATGCGCGTGGTAAATGGGACGATCGAATTGCTTATCATCTCAAAATGATAGGAAAATGCACTTCGGAAGAGATCAAAAAGATTCTGTCTAAATTTACTTCAGAACAGCATAAACCTCAAGTACTACAATCAATCGAAGAAAATTATGGTGGTGGTTTACCAAACTTTCCTTCATCAAATATTATTCAACAGTTATACCAACCATACCATAGAGAACTCGAAAAACCATGCAAAGATCTCGTTCTTTGGGTCGAAGAATACATGATCGCATGTCTTGCTTACATTTTGAGAACAGTTTTACCTGCACAGGCCAACTATACATTGCCTTTGTCTCATGAACTGATTAAAATAATCAAAGGTATAATCCAGCACAGTAGAGAAAAGTGTATGGAAAACGTCCAGCAAATGTTGGAAATGGAAGAGAAGGTATTCACGGTGAATCCATACTACTTGGCAATTTTCAAGAGTTTGCAATCAAAAGAAAGTTAGTGAAATCTTGGTTAAAGCATAAATGTAAACTTTTCTTTACTTCTCTAATTGTAGCATCAGTAAACAAGACTACGACAGCGAGCGACAACATGGGGGCTAATGATACTTTAATTGGTCTTCAAGCATATTGTTCAATTGTTCATGCTCGCATTGTCGATCATTTGTCTCAACTTTGTGAATACTGGTTTATTCGCAACGGTGTACTAGTTCTTGATGGAGAGTTGAATACAACGTTGTCCCCTGCGGACTTGTTGAAGTGTATGAAGGAACTACCAATTCTAGAGCAAAAAAGGGCTAGCTTGCGTCGAAGTATTGAAGCCATGGAGAGAGCTTTGGTTGAAGCACAAAAATAATAAAGAACAAATGTTTTTTTCTTTGAAGAAATAAATTTTGAAAAGTTTCGTCTTACTTTAAGAGTGTGAGTAACGTTGCGCAGTTGCCATCAAGGCTTTGCTAGATAATCGAATGATATCTAAGGAAAAGATTTACCATACGTCTATGGCAGCATGCATTTCCTATAGTTTTAAAATTAACATTCAAAAAATTGCTGAGTTGTTTTTACGTAGAATGACTCAAAAATTCTTGAGAATGGTGTGGGTGTGAGTAAAGCATTGTGATATACACATATCCACACACCCACATCAGTGGCGGATCTAGCTATTCGGCGAACCGGCGACCGCCACCCCCTTGAAAATAAATACTTTGACAAATACTCAATACAGGTAGAATACTATAGATTTCTCTCCTAAAAAATAACACTACTTTCCACTTTTTTTTATAAACTGCTACCCCCTCATGGAAATCCTGGATCTGCCCTTGGCCCACACTCAAGATACCTAATAATATTATCATTACTTATTGAGTAATATACTTGATTTTGATTTAGTTCGATTAATTTCTCTTCCAACTCTTTTGAATAGATTTACATTTTCCTTTTAAATCAATTTTAAGATTTGCAAGGACAAAATTAGTCATGACAAATATACACCCTGAACTTATTAAATAAAACACTTTTTAAATTATTATTATAAGCTCAATATGAGAATAATTATTATCACTTGATCACACGTACTGAAAAATACAAAGATATTGATCATTCATTCTCTCATGAATAAAAAAATACTTTTTTCCTTTGATTTTTTCGACTATCAAATACATTGTATTCAACAAAGAAAAGATCTCATAAGATACAGTGTGAAAAATTCTGCAATTTACATAAGATCTCAAAATAAACAAAATTTAGAGAAATTCAATTTCTATACTGTAAAATAAATACAACATATTAGATGATTGAGAAAGGTACTAATTTTTTATTCATGAACGAGTAGAAGTAGTAAGCTACCAACATGTAATATACTTCTCATTTTAAAAATATAGTTAATATGACACTCATCTATTTATCTATTATAATTTGACGATTTAACTTTATAATCACAATCGTTGATAAGATCTTGTTTCAATAATTATGCCATCTTAATGAGATATAACATATTCGTTACAATGATATGTGATACGTGTCTATGATTATATCACTATACAGTATTTTTTTTCGCAAAATATACTTCTCTATACTCTTTCGGAGGTATGTTTAATCTCTTTTGTTCGATGAATTATATGATAGAGAACGATCAAATTCATCATATAAAAGGAGAAGGAAAGATTGAAATAAAAGACACTTGAAGTATACGATACATTTGTCAATACAGATTTCTGTTATATGATATAAACTAACATTGTCTTTCATCATTCTGCACTATCATGTTGTATGTTATAATCGTTGTCGTTCTCTTTATTATTGTCAACGGACAATCATCATCATTTATCACAGTACAAAATGGTCGTTTGACTTTGAACAATCAAGATTATATGTATATTGGCACCAATTTTTGGTATGGCGCTAATCTTGCTTCACCAGGACCGGGTGGCAATCGTCCACGTTTACTACGCGAATTGGATCGATTACATTCATTAGGTGTCGATAATTTACGCATACAAGCAGGTAGTGAAGGTCCAAATACAGAGCCATGGCGTATTGTTCCTTCGATGCAACCTGAACCTGGTTCATATGATGAAGCCGTTTTGGATGGTCTAGACTTTCTCTTGTATGAAATGAACAAACGACAAATGCGTGCAGTAATGTGCCTGAATAATTTTTGGCATTGGTCAGGTGGTTTTGGTCAGTATGTAGTTTGGGCTGGAGGTGCAAACTCAATTCCTTATCCAGGCGATTACGATGCATATGAATTATTTTCTGCAAGATTCTATGAGTTACCACGAGCAGTAGAATTGTTTAACAATCATATTCAATTTATAGTAAAACGTACAAATAAATATAACAATATATCCTATACAGAAGATCCAACAATTGTAAGGAAAACTATTTTGTATTGTATAATTTCTAAATTTTATTAAATTATAATTTCTTTTTCAGATGTCATGGGAATTAGCTAATGAACCTCGTCGTTTGAATCTTACATGGGTAAACCATACTGCTTGCTTACTTAGACAACTTGCTCCAAAGCAATTGATTACTACAGGTGTCGAAGGCAGCATTTCATCGAAAAACTTCTCAAATGATCATGCCAGTTCATGTATTGATTATGCCACATTTCATTTATGGGTACAAAATTGGGGTATCTATGATCCCCACAATGCTTCAGCTACACTGCCATTAGCTCTAGAATTTGCTAAGAAATATATCGATGATCACGCCGCCTACAAAGATAAACCCATCGTATTAGAAGAATTCGGCATATCTCGGTAAGCAACAAATTTATTCATTGAACTATTTCTATTCTGTATCTATTGTTTTTTTTAGAGACAACGATGATCATAGTTCAGCGGCATCTATTACAGTGCGTGACAAATATTATGAAGCTGTCTTTCAGTTTGCTTATAATCATCACATACCCGTCAATTTTTGGGCTTATGGAGGTGAAGGACGACCACGAATTCCACGTGCTAATTGGACACAAGGAGATGATTTTATTGGTGATCCACCACATGAACCTCAAGGCTGGTATTCCGTGTACGATACCGATAATAGTACACTCGAAATCATTCGTCATTTTGCTTCGATGACAACAACAAAATCATCAGCCAACACATTAGTCTTTTCTATTGTCTTACACTTTTTCATTATAACAATTTTCATATAATTTCTTATGATAAAATAACAAAAATTAAAAGAATATTTAGAATTTCTAAAAAGTTGTGAGCATGATTCTGATTAATTTGTTTTCTTACATTACTACGATAGAACTTGTCCATTGACTTTCAAATTAGTTTTTCATTCTTACACGTCTAACACAATATTAAAGATTAGTCAGATTCAAGAAAACATGAAACAAATGCGTTAATATAATTAAAAAAGCATGCATATATGTACTTGTAGTTTTATATTTATTCATCTTCAAACATGCCAAAATTAACGCTCAACTGACTGATAAACTACGTAGTAACACAATAATCCTAATGTAAGATATTCAAAATTATCAATTTATTTTGCTAATAAATATTATTTTTCATAAAGCTCTCTATATTCAAACTCTTACTTTATCACGTCGATTAAATTAATCTAAATTGTTTTTAATGTCAAAAGCATTAGATTATGATAAGTATCTTCATTGATCACGTGCATTTTATGTTGTTGAACAGGAAAGAAACGTACTATACTAGAGAAATTTGATCTATCTAGTTTTATAATCTACCGACCATTTGATTTAATTTAGATGTCAATTAATCAAATTCTGATAAGTTTATTAAATGCTCTTATACGATAATGAAGTATGCTCACATCGTCTTGCTTAGAATTACTATTCATTAAACTTTTTTATATGTATATATTAGACGATAATTATGATTTTAACTAAAAATTAAAATAAGAATCAGTGTATTGCGTCGTTACAAAATTAATTGATAAATAAAAATAGCAAAAAAATTTAACACATCTTTTTGACTAAAAACGTAGGAGAAAATCTTATTAAGAAAATTAGTCTATTAAAAATCATACACGTTTTTAATGAGAATATAGAAGTATCTTATGATTTTATTTCAAAAAGATTATAAGTATGGCTGAAATTGTTGACATATAATTCAATTATGCACTGGTAACGTCTAAAGGGCTTAGAAAATATGCATCATCATCATCATCATCGAGTACTAAATTAAAATTGACAGTTTTTTTACTTATTATTTTAAAAATAGCCTTTATCTTTATCACAAAATTATAACGACTAGAATAGATTCTTAATTAAATTCATCGTCTATCTCTCTCAATGTCGTTGATAAGTGGATTTTATTCTATGGTATATAAGTATACAAGCAATTCAGCAAGTATTAGTTAATTTATCTCAAGTGGAAAACTCGAAGCTAAGTATGAATTTAATATATAAAATATTTAATAAATTATAATTTATATTTTATTTAGAAAAAATTCATACTAATGTCTCTATCTTCATCAGATATAGATCTTATAACATCATTGCAATTTGCACAAAAACAACTATATAAATTTCTTGGCCCAATATTAATTAGTTTTGGTACTATAAGCTGTATATTAAGTTTACTTATTTTTACTAAAAAAAATCTACGAAAAAATCCATGTGCAATTTATATGATAGTATTTCATAGTTCTAGTTGTGCATATATATGTACATCATTAGTATCTGTAACACTATCAAGTGGTTATAATATAAATCCTACTTCATACAATTTGATTTATTGTCGTTTTATTATATATATGACTATGGTATGTGATATTTTATCACCATGTTGTTTAATATTAGCTTCTATTGATCGAATATTAGTTACTTCATCAAATGCTAGAACAAGACAACGAAGTTCTTTACATCTTGCTTATATATGTTCTATTAGTGTAGTAGTATTTTGGATATTATTGCACACTCATGCATTCGTTTATGTCAATATTGTAGAATTTGCACCAAATTATGATATTTGTTATTTTATTCCTGGTATTTATTTTACAATTATAGCTTATTATTCACTTATAGTCAAAGCAATTCTTGTTCCTTTACTCATGTTAGTTTTTGGTTTGTGGACATTTAAGAATATCCGAACTATGCATCATGTTAGAGTTGTTCCTATCATACAAACAATTAAAACATCAGCTGTTAGAAACACCCATACGCTTCCTTTAAGAGATCGTCAATTCATTCGAATTCTTAGTATTGATACAACCATCTATATCGTCTGCAGCATTCCATTAACAATTACTGTTATGTATCAACAAGCGACTCAGTATGAAACAAAGAGTATTGCTCAAAGTCAAATTGAAACTTTTGTTACATTCTTTAATACCATTATTGGTTTCATTCCATATTGTATTAGTTGTTACACAAATTTACTTGGGTCAAAAACATTTCGACATGAATTTAAAGATTTATTTATGCGTAGATAAGTAAAAAAAAATAACAGACATTACATTTATTTTATTATATTCAAGCTTCGTGTTGTCGTGTTGTAATCACTTGTATATGCATTTTATTTTTATTCTGATTTTCTGCAAGAATATTTTAAAATAATTTACAATTGAATATATAAAATATTTTTTCTACATTACATGACATCGATTTATTAATCTTTGTCGTTGTCTCCATCGATCGTTCATTTTACTCAACGATTTAATATTTGTCGATGATGAAATTCCATGTTGTCTAATAAGATTACGAAAATGAGCTAATTCAATAAATGATAGATGACGATTAGTTCGTTGTAATGAATCTTGTTGTAATGAAGCTAATATTTGTTGTGTATCTCCTTTTGTTAAATATTCACTAAAATAGATCAGTGTTGGTCCATCAACATCCGATAAAAGTTGTGACATTTCAAAAAGATTATTTTCTTTCAACCAACTGTTCACATGTTCTACTGTCCAATTTTGAATATTTTCTGGGCGTACTTTTGTTTTGGATAAGTGTTCGACGATAGGTAAATTTCGTGCAGGAACTGATAACATATTTTGATCTGAACGAACTTCTATTTTATGAAAAGTTTGAATACGTGAAGCTTGAACTTCTTTAATTAACATTTCTGTTGCAGTTGAATATTCATATTTTGTAAAATCTACATAAAGTGCTTGACCAATTAAAAATAAAAGCCAACCATCAGGTTTATAATGTTCTTGTAAAAGTACGGGTATTATTTTCAATTGACGTTGAAATGCATATTCAGCTTCAGCACGACAATAATTACTTCGTCGATATTGTTCACTCATACAAATAAGAATTGTACGTGAATGTTCAATAGCTTGTGCCATAGCATCCATAATATTTCCATGTATTTGATCAAAATCAATCCATACTTTATAACCATTTCGAACAAGTTCATCATATAATTGTTTACATATATCTTTATCTTGATGTGAATAACTAATCATTATATCAAATATTGTACCATCAAATATTTCTGATGATGACGCTATTTGTTCATCATGATAGGAATTTAAATTCCAAAGTATTCCATGTGCAATTTTACGTATTTTTTCATTTGAATAATTTTTTTCAACATCAGTTAATTTGATCATAAATGAATGATTTGAACGGAGTTGTTCTTGTATAGATGAATTAAATGAAAGACCCCAAAGTATATCGTAAACAATTGGATATCTATCTAACATTTCAATTAATAATGGCATTTTATTAAGTTTTGATATATTTTCTTGAACAAGATCATTTTTTGATAGATTAGCTAAACCTAAAATAAATATATATTTTTTTTTAATTCAAAGAAAAAGTTTTTTTTTCTAACCTCGAAGTATATGTAATAACGGTATATGTAGATATTTTTGTGATGGATCACTCCAAGCTTGTTCAAGTATATCAACACATGAACGTTTTATATTTTTAACAATCTTTAATTCTTTTAATTGTTCATCAGTTAATATTTCAGTTAATAAACCATGTGCACATAAAACTATTCGATCATAAGGTGCTGTTTGAACTAAAGATGTAAGTATATCAGGTAATGATGTTGTCATACGAATAAAACAACTTAATTTTTCTGTATTAACTGCACCGCGTAATAATCCGATTATAGAATCAATAAGAATTGTTTCCATATTTGGCCATTGACCATCAATACACTCATGAAATGGTTTATAACTAATAATACGTATTAATGCTGGTATATGATCATATAATGTTAAATCATTTGATACAATCATATTTATATGATGTGCTTCTTCGCCACCCCACCAACAACATGTTGATATAAGACTTATTAATGAAGCAATACAAGAAAGTAATTCTTGACTCCATGATTTAACTGTATAACTATGAACAAGAATAATTTGAATATAATCATCAGCAAGATATTTAATAATTTGTTCACCGGTATAGATAAATTTTTGTGGTATAGGTGAAAGATAAGCTGATAATGAAAGTGAACATGTTCTGAGATAGAATAATTGTTTAATAGTAAATATTGATTGTGAAGGATGTGGTTCTCGTAGTTGGTTTAAATAGATTTTATACTGGTCAGTCATTAAGATATTACGAGCTATTCGATAATTAATATGAGCAATAACAGGTGAAGATACAAATTGAGAATATTCATGTACAAAATGTGAGAGTGTAATGAACCAAAGACTGATTATACTTAGGAATGTATCGTCACTTCCATCAATTTGATCAAATATACCATCGATCCATTCAATAGAATGAGGAATAAGAAGAATTCCTTTCGTTTCAATTGTAATATTATTATCATTAATAGCTAATTTTGTATTAAATGATGTAAGTGCTTGAAATAAATCATAATAATTGGATTCATTAGTCCATTCTCGATAATCTTTACTAAGTATTCGCCATGCCCAATATTCGATGTTTAATAACGATTGAAATGATTGAGAGATAAATGATGATAATGATTCAGAAGTTTGTTCATTTAAAATGTATGTAATTTGACGAAGTATATCGTTTGATATTGGTAAAATATCAAGTTCAGATGCGAGTTCATTAATATTAAATATCATTGTATTACATTCAGTCACTATGATAATGCAAAAGTCTTTGTGTTACTTTCGATAGATAAGTAATATATACGTACGAATGCACGCACATTGTTTAAGTATAGAATAGGCATAAAATGAGCCATCGTCGTTCTTCTTTTGCGTTTCTTTTTCGTGTTCTTTTCTCTTCTTTTTTTTCTGCCTTGTCATCCTACTGCGTATATATTATATTTGTACTGATACATTCGTACGTGATATGTATATAAGGCCTGCAGCAGCTGTTAAATAGCGACAGCTTCTTTCTTTTTCGTTATTCTTTTCTCTTCTCTTGTCACACTTTATAAATTTTGTACTGTCATTATCGATATTCAATGAACTAGGTTTCGTTTATTTATATATCGTACATATTTCTGATTTGTTTGCTTTCAATTTCATTTCAATGAAAGTTTGTAAGACTTTCGAAGCAAAAGAACAAAGATGAAGCTGGATAATGACCATCCAGTAATATAAAGAAAAATAATGCAACTAGAGAGATGATGAAATGTATGTGCATATTACAAGTATCCTTTCTAAAAAAGATAATACAAAAAAGAACGTATGTGACAATTAGATATCAGTAGTCAACGAGAGCCTACCCTTGTTTTTTTTTGAAGTCAGAAAAAAGTACGTCACTAAGTGACCTTCGTAGGAGATAAGAACGTATATATACACACCATCTCAACAATAACCATAGTTTGTGCTCCTTATTAAAGTCAAGAAATTGTGTGAAATGAACGAATACGATTTAGCAGAAAAATATTATCGTGATTTACTGAAAAAACTTCCACCAAATGATCCATCACTTCCTTCATTGTATTATAAATATGGTTTACTCATAAAAGAGAAAGGTGATTACGATTCAAGTCTTCAATGGTTTCATAAATCATTAGAAATGTCTCTACGTACAACTCCATCTGATTATATCAATATTGCTGGTACATACTGTTGCATAGGTGATTACAATGAAGCATTGAATTGGTATAATAAAGGTATTGAATTATTCAAACAAGCAAATGATGAGAATGATCCAAACATGGCAAATTTATATAATAATATGGCTGACGCATACAGAAAACAGATGAAGTATTCGGAAGCATTAAATTTATTCGAAAAAGCACTTCTTATCGAGGAAAAAAATTTACCTCCAAATCATCTAGATTTAGCTATCACTCATTATAACATTGGCTGTACTCATAATCGTCTCGATCATTATGATCTTGCTTTAAAACATGTCAATCTATCTTTACAAATCAGATTGAAATCACTTCCTTCTCATCATCCTGATATTGCTGTGACCTTTCAATGTTTAGGTCTTCTACATGAAGATAGAAATGAATTCAACGAAGCATTATTTTACTATGAAAATGCTGCTACTATCTACCATCAATCATTACCATGTCAACATCCAAAAGTAAAGAAAATTGACGAAGTTATTCAACGTGTTTATTGTCAACTTAAATAAAATATTCTCTACTGTCAACGACTGTAGACTATTTCTTATGATTTGAACGACCAGATGACAGTTCTGCAATAGAGTGAGATTTTTTCTTCGTTGTTTTCTTTTTTTTACGAGATGATAGTGGTAACTGTTTATCTTTCAATCTATCAATGATTGCTTCACCTTCTTTCACCATTTCGTGTTCCGATTCATAATTAGCTTGATAGATCGTAAGACTTTCATTGTAATAACGAAGTGCTTCGGATAAGTTATTCATATCTTCATAACATAGACCAACATTTCTTAAGCTATTTGCGATGTTAGAATGATTAGAAGATAATGTCTGACGATCAAGTTCAAGTGCTTTGAGTTCACACCGTAATGCATCTTCCATCATATCACAAACAGAATATAAACAAGCCATTGATGTCAAACATTCAGAAGTGACTTGATAATCAGATGATGTACATTTCTCCAACGCAGAAAGAGCTTGTTCATAATATTGTAATGCTTGATTTGGATTATCTTCTTCGATTAAATCAGCTATAATCATTAATGTTCGAGCAATACGAGGATGATTTTCATCTAATCTTGTTTTTTGAATAGCAAGCTTTTGTTCACATAAGTCTAATGCTTTATCAATCTTATTCATCTTTTTATAAATATCAATGATCCAACCGAGATGAATTGAAAGATTTGAATGTTCGAAAGGTAAACATTGTTCTTCCATATTTAATTGTTGTTGATAATAATCCAGAGCAACATCTAAATTACCTTTCTTCTCATGAGCATATCCTATTCCACCAAGACATCGTGCTATATCAGAGTGTTGATCAGGAAGAACATGTTTGAACATCTCGAGAGCATGAGATAAACAAGTAAGAGCCGTATCGAAATCTTCTCTATCCGTGTATACTCTTCCAATATTTTCGATTTTCATTGCTTTTTGTAGATTATCATCTGAATTTAAATTTTCGTCAATTTTCAAAGCCTCTTGAAAATAATCAAGTGCTGTATTAAAATCACCTTTTGCCTTATAAATAAGACCAATATTGTTGAGTGAACTAGCAATGTGTGGATGATTTGACGGTAATTGTTTTTGACGCATTTCATAAGCTATCTCATAATTTTTCAATGCCAAATTCAATTCATCTTTCTTCTCATGTACTATACCAATATTATGATAAACAGCTGCAATATCAGGATGATCGTGTGGAAGTGATTTCAATAACATATCAAAATATTTTCCTGCACGATCTACTTGATCTAATTCATTTAAGAGAAGTCTACCAAAATAAATAAGTGGTGTGTATTCTTCCATCTGTTGTTTCGATAATGAAAGATATTCTTCAACGTTTTCTACATCTTCATCAATTGCATTCAATTCAACTTTCCATACACCAAGTTTAGAATCAAAACAAACAGAAACGATTTCAAAAAGTGAATTGAGATTGAATAGAACTTCTTCTTCTTCACCTTCTATTCGATTGCTATTTCCAACATCAGCATAAACCACTCTTTCTAATAATGGATCCACTTTAATTTCAAATAAAATCAATATAAAATCATTGAATTGAGAACTGATACTTTGTGATGTTGATAAAAATCCATTTATTGAAATAGTTTTACCAACGTTTTCTTTTAGTTTTTCTAATTCTTCATTCGGAATTTGTGTTCCACGATACAACGTCAATGTGTCTTTAATTTTGAAATGATAATTTTCTTGTTCAATAGCTGAACATAAATCAATAATAAAAAATCGAAAAGTATAGAGTAATTCAATATCATCTGTTCGAAATGCTTTATTTAATAATTTATAAAGAAAACATTTATCTGTATACCATTCAATTGCTTTGTGACGAGTATAATTATTTTGAAATTCTTCAATCTTCTCTAATTCTTGTTTATTGTTTTTATAATAATCACGACACATATCGAGTATTTCTTTTCTTGATTGTTCATCTTGTGGCGCTTGTTTTAGAACATAAATTAACATTTGATGTAATAGAAATGATGCTGATTTTTGCTTTTGATCAGAAAGATTAAATGTTAATGTTTGTTTTACAATTAAATTCATTTTTTCGCGAATTGATTCTAATAAATTAGGTTGCTTTGTATATATTCCAATAATTTTTTTATATTCTTTCATTAATGGTGTGTAACGTTGACGATTAGAACAAAAAATAAATACAGCAACGAGAGGTCGATAATGATGAATTTGTAAAAGTATACGTTCAGCAAAACCACCTGAAACAATAAGAAAGATTTGTTCGTCTTTGATTGATTTGATTAAATCAAGGCAACGATCAAAATGAGAATAAAATTGAACAGCTGGATTGAGTTCGATTAACTTTGATTGAGTGAGATGATTATCATCTGAATTATTCATTTTTCTATCAAGCCAAATCAATTGAATATCTTCCTTATTTTTTCGAACTTCATTTGGAAGAAGATTCTCTCGTCTTTCATTTGAGGATTCAATAGTAGCCATTATAACTAATAATCACTATATTATTACCTCAAAAAATTCTAAATAAAAATATTTTGTGTGCTGCAGAAGCACAAAACTTTTTTTTTCGTTCTACCGTGTTTTCAACGTCCTCTGATGAATAAAATCGATGAAAGTGTTATGTTACAAATGCTTCGAGTTTTTGTTTTTTTGTGTGAAAGTGAATGTCGCACTACTACGTTTTTGCGCAATGAAATTTTTTGTTGCTTTTTTTTTCCTTTTTTTTGAATGATCTGTTGCAGCATGCGGCTGTGGATAAGAGTGAATATTTTATTTATGTCTTCATCTTGCCCTCATATAGACCCACACCCTTTTTTATGTTAAATATATCATTGATTATAATCAAAATAATATTTATGGTGTATTTTTGATAATTAAAATATGTATTAAAAACTTAATCTTATATAGATATTACATAATAAATATCGATATGTATGTGTATGAGAGTAAGTAAAAACGTGAGTATGAAAATGAACTAATGATATGGTTAATACGAGTACTCATACTACGAGTTATACTTATTCGATGAATAGGTTATATACGAAAAATCTACTACGCCCTTAACGATACCAATGCTTTTTACATATGACTACGCCCAAAATAAAAATAACATAGAAAGATAATTCTTGACACTGAGATTAATTCTCATATGTCAGGATTTACAAAATAAATATGATTGTATTATCGTTGAGTGTATATAAATTTGAAGAAAAGAAGTAATGAAAAACTAAAAACCGAAATTGATAATACATAATGCAAAATTACGTTCGTCACACGATTTCTAAAATCATTCACATGCCTGTTGTTGGACAGTATCACTACAGTACAATGGGTTTACACAATAAAACAGTTACATCAAATGATCATGCTAATGATCTCAATTGTTCTCAATGGGAAGAAGCAATTATTAAAGCACAACGTACGCCTGACACTCCATTCGATTTAATGCAACAAGAAACTATCAATCAGATACACAACAATATTCAAAATCATATGAAATATAAACCAACACTAATTTCACGTGAATACAATAAGAAAATACATTAAATATTTATATACTGTTCATTTTAGTTGTTTATAATTATAATATTTTTTCTTATATTTTTCTGCTAAATTCACATATCTCGAGTTTATTTTTGCTGAAATTCTAATAAACTTTTTTACTTAATCTCAAAAAACCATTTATTGACAATCTCATATTGTAAAGCAATACATTAATAACATGAAAGATATTTGAATGTGTTGTAACAAAGACAAAGACCATGTTTCCTGTTATATTTGTTTATATTCATTATAAGTAAATAAGCATATAGAATAGAAATGGTTTTCTAGAATGAATCTTGTATTATAGAAATTATAATATAATATAGACTCTAACTCAATATAAGCATTAAAGTATCAGCTTTTTTTTGTAATTGACATTAGTACGAAAATATTCGATTAAGTCTCTTAATCCTAATACGCCTATATTAGTATTTCTTTTTAATACTAATGTCAAACAAGCCACTCTATTTTAACGGAAAAGTACATATGTAACGGCAAAAACATACCACTTTCAATCTAATAAAAGATTGAAAAACTTCTATTTTTCTATGAGTTGAGGGTGGGTGTTACTCGTATCGCTAACTAATAACCCACCCACACCCTCTGATACGTACAAAAACTATCGAAAACTAGATTTAAACTCATAGAAAACCATAATTATTTGAATTTTATTATTAAATGTTACCGGAACATAAGACATTTATGAAAAAAATGATTCAGCACGAATATTCATGTGATCACATCGAAATTTCTCTTCAATTTAAATCAATAAAATTAAAAATAAAAAAAAACTAAGTAAATAAATGTCAAATATTCGAATAAATAAATTAACTGAATAATAAATTTATCTTAAGAAGCATTCATCCGATTATTAGCACCTTCACCACCAGCGTTAAGTACTGCTGAAACTTGTTGAGTCTTAAATATACAAAAATAAAAATATAAAAATAAAACATTAAATAAATCTTAACCTGCACAATTGAAAAACGTCGAAGTTCATTAGGAGCAGCAACAAATGTTGGTTCCACTTTA